AAAATTCCCAATTCTTTAGATTGTCTTGGAATCGACAAATTGCGTTCTTCAACAACACTGCACGGCAGTAACATTTTCATTACTTCGAACGATTCTTTTCATATTGGCACTTGAACGTTAGGTAGAGAAAACTTATGCTCGGTGTTTTCAACAATTCGACGAATACCGGGCACAGGTGGATGATTATTGGAGAAAATTGAAGAACGATTATCTTTATAATAAAATTGAATAATATCCGAACATTATTCTACTGAATGCAATGAACAAATTTTATAGATCATGGCGTATTAAAAATGCCGGAAATGACACATAGAAATCATATCATTTCTATTGGAAAGCCCGGTATATATGTAAGTATGATATTTTATCATTGCCTATAAATTAGAGTGCACCAAAAGGACGATTCTTTTTCGCTGCGTACTCTGAAAAGTTCATTGGAAGGTACCTTTAGGAAGTCTCTCCATATTTCGTTTCATATATTCTGTATAAAATTTAATGCTCCACGAAATACGCTCCAATGAGTTTTTCTCGAGCCTAACCATTTAGAAGATATTAACGGTTAAACTTTGATTATTTTAAGGCAACACTTTTTTTTTATAAATTTTTTAAGAAAGGTATTTTTTTAAATTGTATTTATTACTATTTATGATTTTTATCGACTTTCGACGGTCTACTATATATTTCGTTGACCCTTAACTTAATCGACCAATTTTAAAAACCATTTTTGTAGAACAATAAACTTCGTTAAAAACTATGAGCTTTGGAATTTAAAATTATTATTTTCCATAGAGTTATAAAATTGGCAGGAATCTAGAATTTCAAGAGTATACAATTTTAGCCTGTTATTTGGTATAATGACGTTTCAGTTTAAAAATTCGCTTCTACTCATGCAGCAAACTGGTCGAGCTGACTCAGTGTCTGAGTATGCTACAATTACACAAATATATATCAATAATGGGGATAATTACAATCACCATGACAACGCTAATATGAGCTTATATGAAATCGAGCGCCTCTATGCTCCCGTTAGCTTTAAATTCATTCCATAATTTCTATAGTGAATTGAAAGATCGATTATCGCATCATTGATGGAGAAGAGAGAAATTTGATGAGAACATTTACACTTTGTGAATGGCTCACTCTTAATATTCCCTTCGACGCAAAAACAACATTTTAATACTGCATAATAAGAATGTTAACAAATAATAGTAAGGTTTTTATATACTGATTTTCCTAGGTTGGTTTGTAGTCAGTCCGTGGCATCTGCACCTACGAAGAGGTTCCATTAAATTTTGAGAGCGGCGAAAAATTTCTGGCGCCGAAACGTTCAGTTTGTTGGAAGGGGCCTTCGGTGGTAATTATTTGTCGCGAGCAAGTGTTTTTAATTGGTGAAAATTATTCAAAGAGGGTCAAGAACACGTAGTCGATGACGAACCACGTCCAGTTCGGCCATCAACATCTACGGATTACACAATACAACAACTAATCTGGGGGGGGGGGAGGAGAAATTCCAAGTCAGGGTGATGGCACTAGGTCAGTATAGTAAAACCCTCAACTGGTCTGGCGTTCGTATGGGTCAGTTTTTTTTTATGACCTTTTTAATTTTCCGACCACTGCGAGGAAACCGTTTTGAGTCAACGTAAATTTCTACGCGCATTGGGGGCTACTCCGTTTCGAGAATTGGAAAAAACGTTGGCACATATGTACTCGTGTTGTGGCCAAGACGGATTAATTTGAGGAGACGCAATTTTAAAAATATGAATAAACTCTTACTACTTCTAGTTCATAACAATAAACACAGGCACATATAATATCTATATTTAGCCGGAATTGCAAAAAATCTTTAGCTCCTCACATCAACTCTGGTTTCTTGCGCGAAAGCGCATTCGTTGATTAAAGCAAAATTACTTTGAGTCCTACGTTGGGTGGACCCTCAAACGGTTTTCCTGATGTTTATTGTTACTGTTTTTGCTTCTGTGAGTGTTACATGTTTAAGCCTTTTGCTGAAAATTATATGTGAAACAGACGAAAGCTTCCGAAATCTGCAACAAAACTTCCTTTTCTACCGTCTAGTTTAAGCTGAAAGCACTCACATGCATGAAAAGCCTCTAAGTAATGTGACCGGATTTTATTAAACCTGCCAGCAGCTAAACTAATTAAAATTTCAACACCAATTTCTGGCCTCAGCTCAGCTCAGCAGCTCAGCAGCTTTCATAGTTTTAACAAACCCATTTCGTAGAGCTTAAACCCCGAATGACGATGACAACGAATATTGTTTAAGGAGCTCAAGTAAGTGTGTGCCTACATGTGGTTATGTATGTATGAGTGCAGTTGCTTTGCTGATGTATGCGTGTTGGCATAAGTGAAGTTCTTTATTTCCTTTTGTGGCCGCAAAGTGATGTAGTATATGCTTTTATGTGTGTATGTGTGTGCAAGTAATTTCAATGTTTGTTGAGTGCTGCCCCATTGTTCGACACTAACATTTTAAATTAAGTTGGAGTGCTCTCTGGAGTGGGCATTTTAGTGGCATTTTTAATTCATTCTTTTCCTACTTTGTTTCACCGAGCCGGAGTGGTGATAAAACCTCTCAATTCTACACACATCTCACATACACACACACCAACACTGCCTGCGAGTACGTGCATATGTGTTAGTTACATTCATTATAATTCTCCTGATGGCGCTAGTAAAGTTGCTAGTGTTAATATGGGACCCACAGGAAGTTGTGGCGGCGCAAGCATTGTCTCGCCATCGCAGGCAGCGGCTGCTGAGGCTTCTGCGAGTTTTAAGCTTCCGTGCTGAATTTTTGAGCCATATTTACTTTCGGTGCTGTGGGCGAACGCTTTGTGTGACGGTACGTGCCTGCAGAAAATCAAAAAGAGTTGAAAATGAAAATGATTACATTTGGCTGCCATGCGGGTTTTAAAACAAATTTGGGTTTTCTAATCCAATACATGAACAATCAGGGTTCCCTTGGAGCGTCACTGCCAATTTTACTTTATACCTATGTAAGTAAAGGGAATATTTCAAAAAATATGATTTGGTATACAATAACTTATTTCTTATGCATAAATTATATAGGGCAATGCCATTCAATATGGAATTAACACTTTTTGTTACAATTGAAAAATATCAATATTTTAATCACCTTCACTTTACGGTCATAAAAAATTATTTAGTGGAATTATTATATGTTTTCTTTGGTAACAACTTCTTTAGAGTGTCTATTGGGTTCATTGCCTTCGATGTCCATCTTGTCTCGTTCAACCTAGCAAACCAGTTTTCAACGACTGATGTGTCTGGTGCAAAGTCCAGTTAATGTTTATCAATGCAACCCTTGGCTTCAGTAGTATTTTTTCACCCGAAAAGCAATGCATTATTTGCAAGTATAATTAATATTTTTCCCTTTTTTCAGAATACCTGTAAAGTATGTGTTTCGCGCACTTCACTCAACTTTTCGCAACATAATCGGTCTACTGAGCGTACTATTCGCAACACAGTCACCCATCTTGAGACCCAGCATTAATCATTGGATATTCGACCGAATAGAACGGGTCCAGCTGGCAGAGAATCGCGGAGGGTATAAGTACATGAGGACCGTGGTGATTTTTTTGTTCAGCGATGAGGCTCATTCAAGGCCAAAGTGTATGTAAAGAAGCAAAATTGCTGCAGATGGGACGAAGAGCAATCTCAAGAGGTTTAAGAGCTGCCCTTTCATCTTGAAAAAATATCGGTTTGGTGTGGTTTGGGGACAGCGGAATCATTGGTCCATATTTCTTCAAAAATGATGTCGGAGAGAACGTAACCATCAACGGCGCCCGACATTTCATTTCAATAAGACGGCGCCACTTTCCACACAAAGCCACCAAGATTGTGTGATTTCCTGTGGGGATATGTAAAGTCTAAAGTCTATGCAGACAATATCGGTTCGATTCAGGCCTTGGAGCAAACCAGCAAGGGTGTCAGTCGCCAGTTACCGGTCGAAATGCTCGAACTTATCGGTAATTGGACTTAACGAATGGATCATCTGAGGCGTAGCGACGGCCAACATTTGAAAGAGATAATCTTCAAAAAATAAATTACAAAGAATATTCTCTCGAATGATAGCAAACACTCCCCATTAACTTTAAATTTCTGTGTTTTTCCTTTATAAAAGTAGGAAAAATTTGTTTGTCGCAGAAGTATCTCAACAGATTTACCTAAAAAAATCTGCCAGAAGCTCAATTAAGCTTTCGAGTTGTGACACATAAATAGAAATTGACGTTTTTATAATTTTCCAAACCCTCTGTGAAGCAGTCACGCAACCAGTTTGCTGGGGCACGCGCCTTACCTAACATTAATTCGCACAAAACATCAATCTGAGTCATTCTACTCTCATAGAATTTTACCAGCTGCTGTGATAAAGGTGTTTCTTGGGAAATCCACTGGAGGAAATTGGCAAACACACATAAATAGTACGAATATATTCACATAAATGTTTGTTAGAAGGGAGAAACTGCACTCAGTCGGCATAATCTAGCGAAAATTGAGAGTTGAGTTTGACCACGACTTTCGAAGGGCTGACGGCCACTCGCCTACAATTTAATATGTGTTACGGAAATTCGCAACAACTTACTGAGAATAATGCTACTCTTCGCTCAATGCTTCACTAATAGGGAGTTGCATCGGAATAATCACAATAAAAAACCCAACAAGCGCTGATCGAAGTGACCGGCGAATTATCTACGAGAGCGCTGTGAGTCTTAGTGAGAGTCTCACTTCAAAGCGCTCTCCTAGATAATTCGCCAGTCACTTCGATTAGCAAAAACTAATAAAGTCTGCTTAAGTTAGTTTCTGTATGTGCAACTAGCTTTAGTTCTTGAAACAAAGCCAAGGGTGGAAGCAGCGTTTTGTTGCACTTTAATTAATTCTCAATGTAAAGAGTAGTGCATTGAATGTTCGAAATGTGAAAGTATATCAAATTGTGGTGTTCTATCGGTGATTTATTAACTATACCGGGAAGCAAGTAAATAAATATAAATGATATGTGTTTTTTTGACACGATTGGATTTTGTCTTGTGAACAAACACGCGATTGCCAACGGAGCGTAGTATTTAAGTGAGAGCACTCAAGCGATAGCTCATTTCCCACCACACAGACTTGATTTTGAAATATTGCGCCATAACTGCCAATAGCACAGCTTTTGACTATATTTTTCCAGTAAATGCTGCTCAGTTTTTAAGGAAACAAAATTAAGATATCCAAATGGTTTCCATATGCGACCTACCGGATGAGGTCTTAATACGGATTTGCAAAATGTTGGACCGCGATGTGCAGGAATACCGCTGGGCTAATGTTTGTAAACTTTTTCAGTATATCTACTTTCGATATTTCCACAATTGGGCTGAAGTTAACGACAATTTGGCGCAAAATTTTGGTCATCTCATCGGCACCGGCGAGTTTCCGCTGAGAATCATAAAGACACTCAATTTGTCGAAGTCAAAATGTACGAAAGTCTTTTTAAACAAACTACGTGAATTCCATAAGGAGATTGAAGTGGCGAAACTCTTTTCATTCACCGACGAGTTCTTGGCTGAACTTTTACCATTGCCAAATCTGAAGAAACTGATCTGCATAGGCACTTATAACTTGAGAGGTAAGCTCGATATTATGTAAAATAGATAATATAGATTTTAGGAAGAGGTCGAACTATTTGAGGTATATTGAGCATAGTTGTGAAGTTAATGTCTGTAGCTGGGTCTTACTGCTTTATATGTAATGAGCGGAAATGAGTGGATTCTTATAAAGGCGACTACAAATTTCACAAGTGGACAGGAGAAGAGTGAAATATCAGACCATACAATGAGGTCGATTTTTTTATTGCATGCAGACTGACTGCTCTTCGATAACTGAGGATACTTCATTTTAAATCAATTTGTAAACAGATTCATTCGTTTCGATTCCTCATCCATTCTGGAGAGTTGGACGTTAGAAGCAGTTCGGTTGTTTTGTCAAATAATTTCGGTGTCAACTGTTGCCTTGGTATTTTTTAAAAGATAGTCATCTTTGTCACTCCCTCCAGACTGAGTCCTTAGATAGTATTAAGGTATTGGTGTACTGTTGAGTTCTTAGGATGAGTCGAGTGCTAAGAAACATAAAAGCGGTGAATGATTTTTGAACACAAAAGGTAGGAGTTGCTTGTATGTAAGTCTACATAAGTTATTTAAATTAAATACAAGCGACAGTTCCAGTTTAACATATGGGACCAAAATAGGAGCCCATCTAACGGGACAGTTGTTGAAATTTTCTAGGCAGCAGCCTGATAGATCTCAACAGTCTCACGGAGCTACACATACACACTAACAAATTCTTCGATCCGGAAAATCTGCTGCAAATAGCCTCCCACAATTCACTGAAGACGCTCGTAATGCCCAACGACCCACGAACGCTTTCGAATAGGTATGCCTTTGAATTGGTCGAAAATCTGTCAAACGTGGAGGAGCTTGTGACTGAGTTTAATCCCTGTAAATCTTGGCAACTGATCGGCATGCTGCCGAAACTGAAAAAGCTCGAACTCTGGGATTTCGTTAGTCATGAGTGTGAGCTGTGTTTGGAGGACCCCAATTCATACGAAGCATGCGGAAGCCAACATGCCATGCTTTTCTTTGACGAATTGTGCAAGAGGAATCAGCTGGAAGAATTGGTGTTTTGCGACGGTTACGTGTCTGAGCCACATCTCTTGAGAATTTCGCAGCTGACAAATTTGCAGCGTTTGAAGTTCTGCAGAGCCTCTATGCCAGGCTTCCTATCATTAGATGTTTTAAAAGATTTGGTTAATTTGGAAGAGCTACAACTGGACGGCTGTCGACAAGTGAATGTAGAGGGGTCACTTGAGCTAATAAGGAGTTGTCATAAACTGAAAATACTGAACTTTTGGTTTTCTGGTGGCATAACTGTGAACTTTGTTACGGAGGCAAATGATATCTTAAGCAAAAGACAACCGCCATCAGCGGAACCTTTGACCTTGGGATTCTACAGGCAGTGTGCTGAGTACTTGGAGGTGAGTTTACTGCAGTATTATATTCAGTATAAAACTAATTAATTTTTTTTAGAAAATAACTTTTGAAAAACCGCTTCCATTTCTAAAGTTTATGAAGCTAACAAGAAAGTTTGTAGAGGCCGAAGAAGATTATTTGAAAAGAGAGGAGGACATTGTGAGTCAAACGGATGTTCAGGGCGACTCGCTGAAAAGGAAATTTTCCATGTGAGCATTCAATGACTACAAATGTACATATTCGGACACCCTTTAAATAATTTCATACTTTCTCATTTTCATTTGGTGCGACGCAAATTACATTTAGCATGAACATGGTATCGGATCAAACGGAACTTGAAATCAAAGTGAAATGCGTCAAACTAAAGCTGCCATCAGGGAAAGCAGCGGAGGCGGAGGAAAAACGTAACGCTGGTCACTTGCGGTATAACTGAAATTATGCTTCAAAAGTTGGGGTTAAAATGTTAAAAACATATTTTTATAAACACTTAGTGCTTGATTTTAGCTTAAATCAACTATTTTTGTTATTCTTTTTGATTTGAATATTCCTTAAATGGCTACCTGTCAACTGAGCGACCGATGCGATTATGGTGTTCACAACCCTTGATGCTTTCCATAATACACAATAGTTTTATTCAAAAAACAACCCACAAACACATTCCACTCGCTATAGATCGCCATTTATTGTTGCCGAGTTGTTGTAACGTCGACACCATCTCATGCAAATTGTCTACCACCAACAAAGTTGTATGTACTATAAAGCACGAACCAACTCATCGCCATCAGCGGGCGTATCCACTCCTTTAGGCTTACGATTCAATATGAGAGCGGGCCGCAGTGCAACCCTGGTCCACTTTAGTGTAAGTGGTGTGTAGTTCACGTGGTCGCTTGGCCAAATTCGACAGGTATTTGAAGTGTAAACAAATTTGGTAAGCAATTTCCTGTTTATTTTCGTAATCAAACTGAGCTCGGCAAATAACGGAAGCTGTCGCTACGTGACACGCTGTGCGGTTTGTTGTTGTCCCTGCGGTGGCTACAATCGATTTGCGATGTAATACTCAATGCAGAATGAATTCAGTTTTTCAAATCAGCATGGTTAGTGGCGGGGATTTTGAAAGGGAAATTCGATATGACAAAATTCAGATTAAATGAGAAATTGAAACTTTTCTATAAAAGTTGTGGTGTATTACCAAAAATAATTCATTTAATAAAGGTCGTTCACTAGGAACTTTAAACGACACCTGAAAGTAGAAATACTTTGGTGTTGCATTTGAAAGAAAACATATTTTGTTTTAAAAGTCTTGATTTTTACAATCCGTACAAGTGCCTTGAAGTTTGTAACACCCAGAAGGTATCATTATAGACTCCGAAGAGTTTTTAAATGATACGCGTTAGGAGCTGTGTAAAATTAACTACGTTCGCCTGTCTTTTCGCCTTGTACATGAGTTTAGATCTTTTATTAGTCCGGCCGTCCATCTGCCATGGCTCTCATTTTTCCATTTCTCCATTGTATCTTTCTTTATGTGTTATTTTTAACTATTTCCTTTAGCACCCACAGCTTCTTCCCTTCGTATGCTAGAAGGTCAATTGGGGTAATAAACCACTTATAACTAATATTGTATCTGACACTGTTCGGTAAGCTCATAAAATTCTGACGGCTGCGATGCACTTTACTCTAGTCACTACCCTTCGGCTTCCTTTTTTATTTTTTATTTTTTATTTCCTGTGTTGGCCATTAGCTGCTAAGTTGGGAGATGATTTTTGCTACCTTTCCTACGGCGTGCTGGATTTGTACCCAGAAAGTTAGTGTGGAATCCAGTCTTACGCCTAGATAGTTTACAGCTTTTTGTGTCCTAAGCATATCCGTAGTTATATCCAGAGGTATGTACTTATTTCTTAGCAGTAGTAGCTCTGCTTTTTCCGTAGCGAGCTGGATGTTGTGTGAGTCGAGCCATGCCTGCGTGTGTATCATGACCTCATAAAGCTTTCTTCGCGCTTCTTCTGTGTCTCGTACTGTAATTACTGCTTTCTCATTTGGAGTTTTAGTACAGCGTAGTTGCTGTTGTCCACAAGTCTGGGTATGGAATGGATCCTTGTGCTGGTCCTGAGGCGATCGCAGTTTTTTTTTTTTACTAATATAGCTCCACACCACAGCTCTAAAATATTATAAGGCAGTTCTTGAAGACCTTAAAGCCTTGAAATAAGCGCAAGTTTCGGAACTACTTTGTACAAAGGACAAGCCAATTCTATGGTTTATTTTTATATATGAGATATACTCTTCTCTTACACATAGCAACCACCCAAAGTCCTCTGCAATACTTTTCATACTCGGCTAATTGCCAGCTAACATGCTTACCAACGTCTCCTTCCCAGCTCAGGGGGCAAATTTGTTTTGCAACAGTTACGTAATGTGAACAAAGTGTCGCCGCAGGCAGCAATGTTGAAGCTAATGTCTACAGCGTGTAATCGCCAATACCGCTCGACGACGGGGCGGCCTATGAACATAAGCTTTGTTAATAATTTTTCGAGTGTCTGTATTTTGTTGTGCGCTTTGTGGTTCGTCTCGTTTGCGCCGCGAGTAGGACATTTGTACCAATTTCCTTGCCGCTAAGTGTAGTGGGTGCTTAAGGCATTTAGCCATAATTGCGAAACAACAAAAGCGAAGCGGGAACTAAGTCGGTGGAAGGTCGTTGGTTACACAAAAGCGATACTTTGTGTTCGGTCGCGTGGAGGCGTCGCTCCGCGAATGATGGAAGTATGAATGGCGAAAAAGCGAAGAGAAGCGAAGGAAAGTAGCAGCAGCACATTGAATGGCAAAATATTGTTGTTGTTGGTGCAATGAGGCATAATATAGGTAAAAAAGAAATCATGAAATGAACAAAGCCGGGACTGAAATGCAAAAAGGAAGCGACGGCGTTCGAGTTTTTGTTGGCTATCCTTTTTGTGCCTAAATTGTTATGAGTTTAAAGAGTTAAGGAAGTTTAGTGACTATTTCCTCAGACTCAAATATTACCCTGTTACATTAGTCCATTAATAAACGGACTAAAAGAGGCTGAGGTGTGTGCGTTTAGTATTTTGTTTAATGTGCACAGCAGATCCTCTTATTGTACAGAAATCCGATTTTTTTAGCTAAAATTTGTTAATATGACACCGAAAAGAGTCATGTACTTTGCTAACTAAGCTTGTTATGAACTTGGGATAACTGCAAAAATCGATATCGTAAATAAAGCGCGTCCCTTAAAACTCCTAGTTCTTCACTGCGTATACGTAACTATCCGCATGACTCTTGCTGCTTGCGTATAGACTATTGTCTGAAAAATAGTCAGCTCGCCGCCTATACGTACACACATATGCGCATGCACAAATACTGAAACTGTCAGCGGCTTATGCCTTTCTTCTACCGCTTACAACAGCTATGATAACGGTAACTGCATACAAAGTAAAGTAAAATGTGCTGCAGTGTTGGTGCGGATTGCATTGCAACTTTCTTCGCTTTATCTTGGCTTCCGAATTTTGTTAGTAACAACTTTATATTTTACGTGGCCCTTAAGCGCTCGCACATACACAAATACAGTCGCATAAACTTGGAACTTTCTTCAGCGCACTTGTCTAGACAGCCCGTTATCTTGGCATATGCTGGGGCAGTATATATTTTACGAGAGCTCTTCCACAAAAAGTGAGTGCGGATTTTGGCGATTGAATTATTACTTTCACTTTTGACATATAACGGTATAAACTGCTGCAAAATGAGCGAATGCAAATTTAATTGTGTAGCGAGGAAGGAGAGCGCTACTTTTTAGCGCGAATGCATGGAAAAGGTGAAGGTTTATTATTATATTTTAAGAACGTGACTTTTAGACCACCGAAGCGAGCGAAAAATATTGGAAAATATATTTTTTTCGCAAGCTCATTGGAAGTTTGAATTTATGTCGATTATATACTGAATTAATTGCCTTGAATTACTTAGAAAAATCCGTCAAGTGCAACGAAATTGTGTTGGGAAACGAAATTTCGTCACGTGCGCCGTAATCCGACTGTCACGATGAAGGGGGTTGAATATATTTTTAGATCTCTTTATGAAATATTTGAATTTTTTTAAATAAAAAGTTAGAGAGTTGCCAACTGTTTGAAAATCCTTAGAAAAAAAATTATGAGACAAAGAAATTTTGCAGTAAGAGATAATATATTGAAGAAGTGCTGATAAGCATCACACTAAAAATATTTTGTCGCGAGTTGCCACCTATTTAAAAATTATGATTCGGTAGAGTTTATTATTTTAAAATAGTTATCAAACTAAAGAAGGTTATTAAAAAATTAAGTATTTTGTAGTGGGATAAAATTCTTCTTCTTCTTTATTCTCGTAGACACCACTTACGCTGTTATAGTCGAGTTTACAATATCGCGCCAGTCAATTGGAGATTCCAAGTGAAGCCAGGTCCTTCTCCACCTGGTTTTTTGGAAGTGGAGATTTTGGCCTTCTCTTCTTCTACCAGCCGAATACTCGGTGAGTATCGTGGTGGTTGTGGTTAAAACCCAAATGCCGGAAGAACTGACTTCGTCAGTGGAGTTATGCAACCGGATGCCGGACCCAAAGCACGGCAGAGGTTTCAGATGGGCCTCGAACCTGAACCCTCGAACCCGGTGCTGCCACTTTCTACTGAAAATGCCTAGCATTCTCAAGGCGCTGATCAACGCATTGATTTGATCCGCTATGCTTTAGAGCCCCGTGCGGGGTAAGGCTGTCGTCAGCAGGTACCCACGTTAAACACACCGGACGTTGTTAACAATGACGTGAGAGCGAGTGCGACGACTGTTTGTTTGATGACAGGAAATATTTCGTCTTGTCCTCGTTCACGGCCAGACCCATTTGCTTTGCAGCTACTCTTCGTGCTGTCAAAGTCAGCTTTGAAATCGACGAAGAGGTGGTGAGTGTCGATTCTCTTTTCACGCGTATTTTTCAAGATGTGGCGCATGGTGAATATCTGGTCGTTTGTTGATTTGTCAGGCCTAAAGCCACCTTAATATTTCACACAATACGCTCTATAGAACTTTATATGCGATGTTGAGCAGGCTTATCCCACGGTAGTTGGCGCAAATTGTGGGGTCTCCCTTTTAGTGACTTGGGCACAATACACTTAAATTCCAAACGTCGGGCATGCTTTCTTCCGACCATATTCAACAAAGAAATTGATATATGCTCTTTAACAATACTTCAGCCTGTAATTCAACGGCTAACGCTATTTTCTTGCTCCTGAGATGAGTAAAAGTATCAAACATTGTTTTGTCTGTAGCCAAAAAATAAGGTGACATTGTATTTATTTTGAAAATTCTTTATTTATTCCTCCAAATCAATTTCATCCCCTTCAAAGTAATCCCCACTAGATGTAGTACATTATGCCAGCGGATTTTCCAATCTTCGAAGCACTGGTTGTAGTCACTTTCCGCGA